AGGATGACGTAAACATGTAGAGTCATCAACTTTTTGAAGGCCATAGATAGGCCTAAATAAAATGTTTTTTAACTGTGTACCAGTTTAATGTTGAATACTATTTATGATTTTAACTTTATACACAAGTGCCAAAATACTATAATTAATATGTGGAACATTACTGAAAATGTTAAATTATTAAGATTGTTAAAAAACAAAATAATATAATATAAGTAAGATTTTATTATTCTAAGGTCTCATAAAAAAAGAAGTAAATAACAATCTATTTGAACCAATACATGGGTAATAATTAATAGGTAGAACATTTCAAACTAAATAATATTTTTTTATTTAAATATAAACAAATAAATATGTTTACAAATCTCTTTTTTTTTTAAAACATTACATTTTGCTCGGCTTTACCACCTAGTGCTGATGCTGGTAAACTTAGCAAACATGATGTTTTAAAAGAGAGGTTTTCAAGCATATCTACTTATTTATCGATAAATGAAAAATATCAAATGGACAATATTTTAATAATGTAATGAGGAAGGTTTTTTTTTTGCATTATTTTAACTATTGTTTTTGTTATGTACTGAAATTAATATTTATTCTGAAACTATCTGTTAACGTGTACTCTGCAAATTGTTCCACTGGCATAAAGGTGGTCCAAAAAACAGGTATTTGACCACTGACCTTTGATTTGAATATTTCATTCTTTGCAGTTACAGTCTAAAAATGTTTATTAAAAAACTAGGCTATACTAAGTTCATAAAATGTAGAAACTACTGTATATTCATCAAATGATGACATATATATACAGATCTAATCTCTAACACCATAAGCTTTAAGATTATTATCAAGACAGTCACTGAAATATTGCTATCTTGTGAAACTTCAAAATAGAGGAATCTGTAGTCAAGAATGTTGTCATCTTTTAGTCCACACATGTAGTAATATATATATATGTGGATATTTACTGACAGGGTTTCCTTGACAAACATCACCCAACAGCATGGAATGTTATAACGATATTCTAGTACACTGTACAGAGATATAATGAGATGTGCATAAACTAGATATCAGAATATGTCATAATATTCTCCAGTTTATGATAATGAGTGAAACCCCGTGTTCCTCCTTTATCACATTTTTGAGACTCGTAAGCCACTTTCAAATTTCCTGTTTAGTATTCAAGTAGCAATACTTACATGGTGAATAACATGAACTAATTATGTGTATAGTTTTTCTTTTGTTGTGTTTTGTAAACTACATTTGTACGTGTTCAATGATATGAACTTACTGCACATGCTGTTGACAACTCACTGAATGTACAATTATTCATATATCAAGTTTCATATATTATGTAGCGTATTTTCAATTTCCATTTTCTTGTATAGTTCTCAATCCTGAAAGTAATACAGTTTTCAACACTACTCCCCAACTTCAAGTTTCAATTCCAGATTCCTTTTCTTCTCCCATGTACGGATACGCACAACTAGTCACAGGTTACTACATAAGCTATTACGGAAGTAAAAGCAAAAGCGTGGAATGTACATCAACTTATGTGCTCCGAGAGCTTTGATGTTTAAATTTTCTCTTTTATTTCTGACTATAGACCAACAGTTTCAATGTAGATATATTATTTATAAACCCCTTTACAACACACATTAAGACACTTCATGATATCTTTATTCCTCCTATGGTGTGTACTACTCGATAATTTTGTATATTTTTATTTAGTTTATTCTAATCATTTTGTGGAGCTGTTATCACCATGATCATTCTGGAAGATTGTCATTAACTCATCAACACTGTCGACATGAAAAAAAAAACACCTTGTTGGCAAACATTTGCATCAAAAAAACTTGATGAAATTATCACTGCCTAAGTGTTACAGACTATTTTGAAATAAAAGAAACAAGTCATTACGAAATTAAGAACCAGCTAAATAAAGCAATCGGCAGATTAAGAGCTTTAGAGTGCCAAACGTTAAAACTTTCTGAATGTCACTTAGTTTTAAAAAAAAACATAAAGACACTATCAAAATCAAAAGTAAAATCTTTTGATGAAAAATAAAGTTTTAGCAACCATTCTACTGTTTGAAATCTTTATGAATTTTGGAAACTCTGTAAACCTGGTGTGTTCTAATGTCCCATGTTGCATCAACGAGGATTTAATTAGCTGCATTTTATTGATAGGCGAGAAACTTTAAACTATTTCTGTTGTGAAATAAAAAACTGATATCAAGAAGGATACGAGTGGATGAGTATTTAGAATGAACAGAGAATAAGACTCTGGAAATCTTTTCTGTTTGGTACAAACTTTTGGAGAATATTTCTCATAGAAGTAAAAAAAAAATGACCTTCAAACCCCCTCATTGGAAAGGACCTTTGGAGAATGCTTCTCATCAAGACAAAGAACATTTTAATCCTTCTGATGATCTAAAAATTTGGTATGGATTTTTGGAGAAGGATTCACACACAGATTAAGTAACACTTTAAATCCTGATGAACTAATGTAGAGTGGACTTTTGAAAAATATTTCTCACAAAGTCGAAGAAGTTACCCCCTCCTCCCCCGATGAACTAAAAATGTACAGTAGAAATACTGAACAATTTATGTGACTTTGTTATTAATTTCATATTTTCCAATAAACCTCTCCACTGACTTGAATTACTGTATCAACATGATATCAAAGTACTGTATTGTTGATATCTAAAATTATCTTTCTGCTACTCTTTGTACCTTAAACATTTTTAACACAATTACTAAATACACAATCTGTTTATAATATTGCATATACAATGTTACAGAATTTTTAGTGTGTATAGCAGCATTACTACTAAGTTAAAACTGTTGAATTTCCATGACATCATGTCTCACACACACACACACACACTGTTAAACATGTAAAATATTGTATCCAAGACAACATTAAGTTGGTAGATAATCAAGTTTAAAAACAGGATGGAAGCTCATTATTACAATCCAGATAATGATTTGTTCTAAAAATATCTTTATTGCTATGGAACAATTGCTTCATTGTGCCCTTAAGAACAACCACTTTGTCTTTAAAAGTCAGCTTTATGACCAGATAGATGGTGTAGTGATGGGATTATCTTTTGGTCCAACATCTCTGACTCATTTCTTTGTCGCTATGAGCAGTTGCAGTTAAACAGGTGCTCTATGGATTTTAAGCCTGCTCTCAACAGAAGATATGTTGATGACACATTCCCACCTTTTCCTATGAACAGTTGCGGTTAGACAGGTGCCCTATGGATTTTAAGCCTGCTCTCAACAGAAGATATGTTGATGACACATTCCCACCTTTTCGTAATATCGAACAAGTAATCTAATTTTTGGGTTTTTGCCCAAATCAAAGATAAAAGCAAATTATCCTTTCCAAGATGTTCAGGTCAAATGTTTAAATAACCAGTTCACTCCAACTATTTACCACAAAAAAACCCATAAAGAACTGGTTAGAAACTTGTACACTTGTATCTCTCTCTCCAATACAACTACACAAGTAGCACTACAAACACAAAATCTTTTTATTTGGCTTCTCAAGTATGGCATCAGACTCATCTAAACCAGAATTACTCGCAAAAAGTTTGTTAACATACAGTAAACACCCAAATCTTGACAATAACAAGAACTCGTGTCAGCTATCAAAATTCTAAATATTTATTGTTCTGTTACTTATATTCTATTCCGTTATCTTGATATATCTACTAAAAACAACATATCAAAGTTAAGTAAAAATTTATATCATCTTTCATGTAATTACAGACTCCTGATGTATATCCAAAAATGTGTGAACATTAAATATGTTACCAATCATCGCAGTGGTTTTCTTGTTCTTGTGAATGAATATCCTTAAGTTATGAACTGGGAAACACTAGTACTAAACCTAGTTGAAAACTACACAAAAAAGTAGTTTTATAATGTACAAAAACATTAGTTTTAATTTCACTCTTCAAATATGTCACTAAAGTCCACAGATGTTAATGAATATATACACAACAGACAAAAATAGTTAATGAACGCATAAGCATTGAAAATATCAAAATTAAATAATAGGTTGAACAATTACCAAATTTTTTATATTTTTATTTAGCGAAGGATGATGTTTCAAGCTAGCACTCTTCATCAGATCATACAGCTTACAGCTGGTTGAATGTTCAACCTGTCATTTAATTTTGAATATATAAACAACAGAATAAATAGCACCTTTAATTTCAATTATTTGCAAACTAAGTCTTCCCACACAATTATTAAATTTAATTATTGCATATACTACTGAATGTTAAAGAAGCAAATACTTGACAAAGAGAGAGTTCTAAACATTTTATATTCTTCATACATCAACAGTTTGCTAATATTATGTACACATGAGTTTTTTCTGTTTAGATATCTCCATATTATATCTAAAGATCTTTGTTTTTTATTTTAAATAATTTTCTTCACTAACATACTTTTTAAATATATATGATAGAAATTACTGTTCTCTTGTTATTTCTTGTACACAAAAAAAAATCGTTTTTACATAATTTTGTAAGATCTATCTGCAGATACAACTTCCAAGAAATATTTTTTAAGCAGAAAATGTAATAAAAATAAGTTTCATTATTCATGACCTTCCAACTCTGTACACTTAGAAACTGACATGTTTGATCCTCTTTACACATTTAAGAAGGTATTGTTACTAAAATGCGTTTCAGGAATATTAAATTATAACATATACGGGATATTTTAACACATAAACTTCTAATACAAAAGGCAGACAAATATATTAACAGCAATTAAGCAAGAGTAAGAGGATAAAGATAACATATTTAAAAAGCTCACAGGGGGCATTACCTTTGGTAAAATCCGTCGAGGCTGACAGAATTGAGCGTAGACTTGAGGAAGAGGAAGCAGAGGATGTCCGGGCTGTAAGCAAAGCAATAATGGTATTAAAGTAAACAAAGGTAAAAAAAAGAAGAGAAAGAGCAAGCAAAATTCATCACATGTTAGTACCTAACCACAGGGATGACAATGAATATGCAACATTCAAACACAATTGGCAATTTTTAAACTGAGAATGGAAGTTTCAAAGCCACAAATACACACACCCTAATGAATGAATGTGCAAATAACAATTTTAGGCAGAAGTTTTATGGATGCAAGTTATCAAAAAAGGTACAAAGTTAATAGTTGTTTAAGACTGTCAACGGATCCTTGAGGTTTAAGGTATGCAAGTATGGGACTTGAATTATTCTCATAGTTCGGCAGTGAAAATAACCAAGAAAGACAAGGACAACTACATTATTTGAAGATATGATCCAAATGTTATTTATCAAATATTTCTAGGATTTCACACAATCAATTTAAAAAAACTTTTAACAAATCAAAATTATTACAGCAATTTTTAATACTGGACCTAACAAATTATTTTAAAGTTTAGTACTCAGGTTGAAATACAACAGTTTTTAATACTGGACCTAACAAATTATTTT